ATGCTGAGGAGAACAGAGGGGGTTTCACAGAGCCTTACATACTGTGTCATTCCTGATGGGGTCCCTGAGGAAGATAAGTCAGAAGCCTCCCTAGGGATGTGAAGACCTTGCTTTGAGGGAATAAGTCTGAGGCCAGCAGAGGGAGGGGAATCAGGCCCTACAAGAAGAAAAAGTGAGGATTCTGAGTGAGGACAAAGTAGTGTAAATATCACGGAGAGAAAGGAACTCACAGAGCTCTGCCATTGCTGTCATCCCAGGGTGTCCTCGGGCAGATGTGGTCAGTTGGGATTCCCCTTCAATTCATAGTCCAGGGCATCGGGGAGCTGAGGGCTTTGGTATGAGAGAGTCGGCATCAACGTACTTAGGCAGAGAAATCACAGGTCACGCCAGAAGTCAAGGTGATGACCCTGAGTGTGAATTGAGAGAAACATTTCCTACCCCACAGCAGAGGAAGCTCTACAGGGTACGGACCTGGCAGACACTGTCTGCCGCAGTAAGACGCAGGCACCACGGGAGGGCTGCAGCCTAGCATACACTCTAGTTACTTCCACAGGGTCCTCAGGGGAAAGGCTCATCAGTGAAACAGAGGTTTGTGGGTTCCTTGAGCAGTGCTGTCCAAGAAACCTGCAGAGGCAGCCCTTGATGAAGCCAAGGTGGTGTTGCCCTGCTGAGGAGGATCACACCATCTCATCCTCTTTCCTGCAGGTCACTGAATCATCTGCCCTCTGTCCCACACTCCTGCCTGCTGTCTCTGACCGCAGTCATCATGCCTCGGGGTCAGAAGAGTAACCTCCGTGCCCGTGAGAAACGCTGCCCGGCTAGATATGAACCCGAGGGTGTGGAGGGTGCTGAAGCCAGTGTAGCGGAGGAAGAAAAGTCCGTCTCTTCCTCATCTCCTTATTTCAAAGAAATTCCCCAGAGGTCATGTGCTTCTGGAAAACCCTGTGATCAGCAAAAGCCAGGGAAAGCCCAATCCAGCACTGCTGCTGCAGCAGCTGCTTCCTCCACAAGATCTCATGAAGGCACCACCAGCCAAGTTGAGGAAAAGCCAAATGTCTCACAGGCCCAGGCTTCCACTGAGGACAGGGAAAGAAGCCCTGTAGAAAACAAGGCTCCAATGCTGGTCTGTTACCTGCTGAACAAGTATCAAAACAAAGAGCCCATTACAAAGGCAGATATGCTGAGAAATGTGATCCAAACGGATAAGAAACTCTTCCCTGAGATCCTGAAGAGAGCCTCTAAGGACCTGGAGCTGCTCTTTGGCCTTGATTTGAAAGAAGTTGATCCCAACAGGAACCTCTATGTCCTCATCAACA